GAAGTTTTTGCTAGGGCTGTGAATTTGTTGTATGCAGGCAAGCAGCTGTTACAATGATGTGGGAAGACCAGCAAAATGTGAGTTAAGTATGAGTAGGTAGATGAAGCCTCTGAAGTTTGTTGAGAAAGAGTGGTAATTTCAGTGGTTGTTAATGTGACTGTCAAAGCAGATTTACAGTAGTTTGACTTAATAATAGAATAGCTGTTCATACAGGCTCTTTACTTCACTGTTACTGTGGCAGGGCATGAAGATCAAACTAGGAAGATGAGGAGCCTAAGTGGGTATAGTGCTAAATGACAAACATGGTACCAATGCATAATTCATTCACGTTTAATGTAAATTTTTGTTTTAATGTGTTGCAACAGCTTCTTCAGTTTGTGCTCGAGTTTTGGAAAAAGTGTCTTACTGAAGGGCATAAATCGAACTTGCTGTAGGATTTGTGGCCTGTATTATAAGTGCATCATGCTTTGTATATACTGTTGAGAATTAATGTAACTTATGTTGTGTTTCAAATGCAGTGTGGAAAACTGTTAAAAGCGGGGGACAGGGAATATTTATCTATGTTTGCCACTAGTTCTGTTTTCCAGTTCATTGTGTTAGTTAACTGTAACATCAAAACAGTTAATGGTATGGTTGAAATGATTTCTACCTTACTTCTAGGGATCAGATGATTGCCTTGTAAAAATCTGGGCAACAGATGATGGAAGGTTGTTGGCTACCCTGAGAGGGCATGCAGCTGAAATATCTGATATGGCAGTGAACTATGAAAACACCATGATAGCTGCTGGAAGCTGTGATAAAATGATCAGAGTTTGGTGCCTTCGAACTTGTGCACCCTTAGCAGTTCTGCAGGGCCACAGTGCATCTATAACATCATTGCAGGTAGGTTTTTGCTTTGTGAACTCACCCGAGCAATAAAATGCATCATTTGACTGAAAAAGGAACGACGCGGGAATGTTCTGTGTAATAAAAATGCATACCTGGCAACTAAGCCGTGAAGTGAGAAGGAATGTTCATGGTACATATTGTGAAATAACATGTGTTTATTGTCAAAATGCCTGACCCTTGAAAAATAATCCTTGTTCAGAAAAATTGCATGGCACGTGGGCAGTTCTGTTTTGGAGGATCTTTCCTTTGCAGGCTGTGATTCTGAGCACAAGTACATTGAGTAAGAACTGCAGTCACTGAACACTTTGGTTTGTTTCTGTTTAGGGTTGCATGCTGTTGCACAACTTGGGTTATGGGGAGGCAGAACCCAGAGTGCTTTGGCAAGTAACCTGGAAGGGTTGCTCTGAAGGAAGAGAGTGACTCCAAGCAGCATTGTGTTATTTTGGTGTTCATTGCAATTTATTTTCCTTAAATATGGTTTTATACTTGTGGTTGGTTGTTTGTTGTTTTTTTTTGTGTGAGAAGTCCATGACTTGAGGAACTTCTTAGCACATGTGGAACAGATTAACAGCAGACCTTTTCTTTTTTCTTCCCCCCCCCCCTTCCCAGTTCTCTCCACTGTGCAGTGGCTCAAAGAGATACTTATCCTCAACCGGGGCAGATGGAACAATATGCTTTTGGCTGTGGGATGCTGGCACCCTTAAAATAAAGTTAGTTGCCATTTTATTTGTTGCTATTTCCTTTTTTTTTTTTTTTTGTAATTAAGAACGATGTACAAATGTTGGAGAAAAATTCGACTAAAACAAAACTTGTTACTGGCTGATTCACTGAGATTGTTGGGTATGATCTATTTCTGATGTAGCTATAGCTTGCTTGCTTATCTTTGAAGGACTAAGTTGGTAATAAAATGTTTTGTGGTGTGAAGCAGGTAACTATACCCAGTTTTGCTGCATCTCTTATTTTAGTAAAAAAGTTGAATTATTTTTTTTGTAATACAATGTCAAAATTGGTGCTTTTCAGTTCTGTCTCATCTCTTAATCCCAAATTAAATGAAAATTACATGAACAAAATGACTGCAATTTAGACTTGAAAATCCAGGGGGCTTTAGGAGATGGTAATGTCCTGGTATAAATTAGGTTGGGTTATTTTAATGTTTGTTCTTTCCTTATCTGTACTACCTCTTCATAATTGCTATTTACTGACACATGGCAGGAGGCAGAATTCTTGGGCAGCACTGTGTATTGGTGGCTGAAGTTGAGCCTGAAGCTTCCGCCTTCAAATTATGAGATATTAAAAATGTGGTCAGGAGCCTCAAATAGAGATACTTTTTAAAAATTAACTTGTTCAATGGCTTTAAAATGCTTTTTGCTCCTTCATTATCACAAAACAACTGTAGCTTAAAATAGGAAATAGCTGTTTTAGTAATCATTAGTGTTTTAGCTTTGTGGGTGGGGGGATGTGTTCTTACAAATACGTTCTCCTGGCAAGTGGGTTCCATTTTCCTGTAGTTTCAGTGATTGCTGTTAGACTCTCTCTTGTGGTGTGCTGAGGTTACACAGGGCTTGTAGGTACATCTGCCTGGGTACATTTGCCTAGGTACTTCTCTAGTTGTCTGGACCTTAACTATTTTGATGTTCCGTGAGCCTTTTGGCTCTTTTTTTTTTTTTTTTTTTTTTAAAAAAGTAGATGAAGCTTCTTCTCAGGCTGTTAATCCTCTGCTGCCTGATACATACTGTAATCAAAGTAAGATTCTCCTCCTTGCTGAGGAGAGGAGGAGATGGTTTGCATGCTTGTTTTTAGTGTGCAAAGAGGAGGAGTTGCCACCACATTATTTTGCTTAAGGTCTCTTAAGTCTGCGCTCTTGTTGACAAGATGAACTCTTAATCTGCCTGATTTGTAAACCTTTTGAGCACTCTCTCTTTCAATTTTTTGCTTTCTTTCTTTTTTTTCTTCTTGTCCTAAGTAAAAGTTAGTCTATGGAATTGAATTTTGAAACAAATTCTGTCATTAGAGAATAGCAGAATCCAAGAGACTTAAGTGCATTATACTATATGAGCTGGAAGATGAATGTTTAGAAATTATGCATGTTTGGATGAATCATGGAGTTGGATGGGATTTAGAAAGCTGGTGTCAGTTATGGTAGGGGATTCACAACTAATTCCTTTCCATGGTGATATTTAAATATAGAATAAAAAAATTTCAGTGAGATGCACTCAGCAAATATTAAAGGAATAAAAGATTTTTGAGTAATGCTTTCATGTATAAGTAGTCACAGCAGATGTGATCAGGCAGCGGCATAGAGAAAACTGTCTCATGCAGTGCAGAAAGGAAGTAGTCTGGTAACCCAGGTCATGCCAGTGATTCATGTTGCTTAATGACAGAGTGTAGAGTAAATTTTGAGACTGGAATTTGTACCATCCTTACCTTCTGTTCTGGAGGTATCTTACATGTTGTGTTTGAGAAGACAGAGGAACCCTTTAAGCTGTGTTTCTTCAGTCTGGAAAAAGATAAATGCATGAAGATGAGATGTGTACAGTCAAGATGTGTCTAGAGGAGGGTGTGTAATGAGTAATTGCTTATTGGCCCTTACGGTACTAGAGGGTATCAAGTGAAGGTAGCCAATTCCTAATTGGAAGGAGATTATTCTTTACAAAACATGCAGTTAAGTTATGAAGCTCCTTGTCACAGGGTATTATGCATTCTATGAAAACAGTAAAAGGCATCACTGTGTGCTTTTTATGCTCTTACACGTCCAGTTTTGGCTACTTTGGAGGCAGGATGCTGGTCTTAGATCTTTGTTTGAGCTTGGTAGAGCTGTTATGTATTCGAAGTAATTGATGCTCTTTGATCCAGTCTAAAACTTGGTAAAATTGTAGTAAAGTCTAGATAAGAAACAGGTATGTCTTTTGGGACTGGAACATAACTGTATATCACTTAGGATATTGAAATAGTTGGACACCCAGAAAAGTCTTAATATAGCTTTTCCTGAATTGAACAGTATACGAGTTCAGAGGAACTTGTTAGTTACAGGAAGTTTTACTTAATGTGCCAAACTGTAAACTTTTCTAACTGTGGTTGTCATGCTTATTCCAGTAAACCAAAGAAAAAAAGATACTGGGAAACTTAGAGTCCAGTGTAATTTCCCACAAGGAGGCTGCGTTGTATGGACAGTGTGTCTCAGTAATGGGTGTACATTTGTCATAAGTTTTTGATGAGGTGGTTGTACTTCCTTACACTTTCAGATCTGAATCTGCTTCCAGAACTGTGGAGACATGGCAGGTTCCCTCCACATTCATTCGGTAGTGTGCTGGGGGAAGATGAATGCCAGCAATATAAGAGCATCAAAGGAAAGAAGGATTGCTGTTAGTTTTTTTCATAAGGCCCTTTCTGAGGTTATTTTTTTAAAACCACTATGTGTAGGCCATCTGGAAGAGAGAATAACTGGTGGGGTGGGAAGTTTGTCCTTCCATTTGTCGCTATAGTACAAAATGCAGGCTTGCTTCTGTTCAGCATCTGTAAAAAGGAGGAAAGCTGGCAGAGAAAATAAGATCTATTATCATAGTTACTCAGGCTCTGAACTTGCTGCCCTGTGTCTCTATTCCAGCACCACTCCTACCCCAGGAAGGAGAAATTGGAGCTTTCAAGCAAGACCAAAAGATCTGAGTAGTACAGGTGAAGGGTGCTGACACATGCTTAAGTCAGGACTTGATTTTATGCTTCTCCTGAGCTTGACTGCAGCCTGCCCTTCAGAATACAATTGCTATCAGTAATGAAAGTGTATTACTAAGTTGTACAGTACTTTAAATGGGGACTGGTGGTGAAGTCTTGAAATTTCATCTGCTTAAAAGAAAAAAAAAGTATACACATAAAAAATACTCCACCCCCTGCTTTTTATGCTCAGCATTACTTGAATCATCTCTCAGTGAGTTAAGATTATGAGCTGTTGGGCAGCCTCATGACAATCGTGTGGTTGATTGTAGTTTCAAGATGATTGGTAGTGTCAGCAGTACTTTGCTGAACTTGTTCATGAAATATGGCAAAGGCAGTGTTTGGATAAACTACTGTGCTCAGTATGCTCTCAAATTAAAAATAATCAGTTCTGATCTTAACTATGCTGAAAACTTTCAATGGAACCCAGCTTAGATGGTTAAGTCTACTGGATCAACTCCCTGTCTCGAAGTGAAAATTGGACTTAGTCCCTCCTGGGAAACTCCATCTGAAGGGAATCTTTCCCTGCCAGCTTCTTCAGGAGATGAGGAAACTCAAAATTGTTCTTTATTCCCCACTTATTTTATAACATCAAAGTATTATGGAGCAATTACTATCTCAACAGACCATGAAAAACTGGAAAACTCACATCCTTGAAAACTGTAGTATTTGCCACTAGAATAGACTTTGACATCCTTTAAGCCTTCTAATGTCTAGTGCCCTATCCCATTTCTGTTTTCTGTTTGTTTTTTTAATCTCTGCAAATGTTGATTTTGTTTCATTCTTAGCAAAAACATCCTTGTATTCAGCTTTGCAATCAGCTCTGCTGCAGTATTAATGGTATCACTGAAATGAGAGGCTTCCCATGTTGGTCCCCCAGTTTTTTTATGACATTGTTAATTGAGGCATGTTCATTATCTAGGTCACACGTATGGCCTAGACAGGAGATGCTTGGTGACAGAGTTCTGTTCTGGTAAACTGCAAAAGGATACACTAACAGTAGATTTGGTGCCGTAAGATGAAACAGACGTTGGCATGGCTGACCACGAAATTCTCATGTGGCTCAAAGGAGGGTGATAAGCCTTGTTCACATGTGTCTGTGACTAGTATGGATGCATGTTCTTCAGTATCATAGAGCCTCCTGAGTGCTCCTCCTCTTTCAGTGAAGAGATTGCTGACCAGGGAGTTACCATGTGTGCTTAAAAGCAGTAACATTCCAGGTAGATTTATTTGGTTTCCAAATAGAGGATGCAAAGGTTGGTTGTTGCTGCAGGTAAGGAAGTCAAGGAATGTGGCCCAAACAAGATGAGAGAACAGTTAAACATTTAGGCAATCGAGACTTTCCCCATGTTTAGTCTCCTGTTACTGTTCGGGATGGTGATAGAAAACGCAATAGTTGTATTCCCCTATCAGCTGACAGTAGGGAGAAGAGAGAAAATCAGCCTTGGGTTATCAGAAATTGAAGCATAATCTGCCTCAGTTTATAGGAGAATTATTGCAACTGGTGAGTGCATTGAAGTTAAATTAGTTGCACTGCAAGATATTTGCGTATCTGTCTTCTCTGAGAAAGGTGATGAGTTTTCTTGTTATTCTTCTGCCACCTGATTGGATTGCGAGTTTCCAGTGTTAGTTAGTCTGTTACTGGCAGACCGTATGAACAAGGCAGCAGAACTGTCTCACAGATTGGATAGAGTAGCTTACTATACTGCTTTTCTTGGTTTTTTTTTTTTCCCACCATAATTATAAAAAAAGGAAAAAAAACTTAGGAAAAACACATGCCGATGATTTTTGGTGTTCCTGTTTTGGACAAGATGTTGACTTGCTGTTGTCATCAGTTTGGTGTGATACTTCCTGTCAGCCTCCTTAAGCAGAAGGCACTTGATATTAAAGGGGCTGGTCATACATCAGAATTCAACTATGCTGAACCTTGTTAGCTCACAAACAGGCTTAATTTGGACAGGTTATATCAAACGTGTGTTTTCTGGGAAGAAGTCTTGCTTGAGCCACTGCATGTCCAGAGTGAGGCTGGATTAAGTAACCATTCCTGCACTATAGCTGCATTTTGAAGAAGATAAACTTGAGGCTTTTGTATGAGTGGGTTGAGGCACATAGACCAAACTGCATCTTTGTCTGCTGCTCTGAATGCAGGTTATTTTTTGACTGCGGCCCCTTTCATTTCTGGATTCGTGTTAAACTTAATACAGGTCTCCTCCAGGAGGAAAATAGTTTACTAGGGCTTTTCTGAACCTCTCTAGGAAATACTTGTGAAGGTGTCTTCATGCCTTCTAGGCACTTAATGATTGGATTGAGAATGTTTGTAAAGTGAAGCAATTGGCTTGATTTCTGTATGTTGTCAGAAATTATGCTTTTGTCCCCTTTCCTTGCTTCCCCAAAGTACTTACTGCCCAGCTCATTTTGCAAAGACCATAGTCTGCTCTATTGTAAAAGAATGCCATAATCTGTCTCCTAATGCCTAAAATAGCACACATTAGAGAGACATAAGTTGGAGAATTTAATTTGATTATCCAAACTAGAACGTGATTATCCAAACTAGAACGTAAGTGCATACTTGCTCTATTTTGCAGCTGTCCTAACTCCAAAGGCAGAGTTCACAAACCACAGTGGAGGAAAACAGCAGCCTATTTATCTATTTACACTTGCTCCAAATTATGTAAGCTGCATATTGAATCATCTGATAGTTCTTTTTATGTTAGTATCTCAATTAAGAAGGGTTTCAACTGTTTTGTGGAATAGATCTTTGTCTTGTTTAGTGTTATCTTGTCGTGAAGTTTCCTTGTCATGTGTCTGCAGGGAGTTACCTTAAAACTCCTAGAGGAAAGTTCACAGAAACAGCCTATACTGAAGGGACAATTTGGAGAATGATTTCTTAACTGGTGTTCCTGAATTTATTACTTTGGTTTATGCATAGGCACCACTAAGGTTTAATGCTCACTACTTTCTCTGAGATAGCAATAGCTGATTAGTGGAGAAAGGTCTCTTATGCATCTGCCTTCAGCTGAAATGAATTATATGGACCATTCTGCTTTTAAAAGAGAAAATTTTGGATAAGTTATGAATATGCATTTTTTATGTTAAAACAAATCTTTAGTGATGACATTTGTGGGTGTAATGCTGCTGTTCTGTAGTAAGTTTATTCTTTGAGTGAAGATTGCAGATGGCATACAATGTAAGACCACCTACTGATTTGAGATTGCTGCAGTGCATGAGCAGAATTGAAGTAATGATTGAAGAACCAGATCTGATTTGTTTTGGTTTTATACACTCTTAAAGTGCAAATCCATTGAAGCTTTAGTTCTGCTTGCACATCAGGTTCTGAAATGCATAAAAGAAAGCACAGGTCATAAAGTAAAATTCCTGATAAGCGTATAGCCATTGTCCTGACATTCTTCGGGCACTGTTTGAAACTAGCCCACAAAAAAATGTATGTCCTCTGAAGAAACTGGTATATTCTAATACTGTGGAAAAACTCCAAATTTACTTAAATTTCTTTTGAATACTTTTCTATCAAGAGCACCAAGCTGTTCTCTTCTGCAGCCAGGTGCTGCAGGAGAAACACAGTGTTCTAGTACACTCAGTATTTTATAACTGAATATCATGGGCAACTGGCTCTAGTGTCTCCTGTTCTGCTTTGGCGGTGACTTAAGGAGAGTGTTTTGTGTAGCAATATTAGAGGGGAGAGGGGAAACAGGATTTAAGTTGTGATACGACTGTCCTTGATACATGAATTACTTAGTCCATCTGGATTTCTTAGTTTCCTAAAGATCAGATCATGAAGCGTAGTCACACAAAATTGTTTATAGATGGGCAGCCATCTGTTCCTTCATATTTAATTTTGTCCTTCTGTGCTTAATTTCTAAGATACTGACTTATTTTTTGAAGCCCTATTAGGAAATTATTTAACTGTTTCTTTATTTGTAGTCCAAGGCCAACGAAGTTTACAGAACGCCCTCGGCCCGGAGTCCAAATGATCTGTTCTTCTTTTAGTGCTGGTAAAATACTTTTTTCTTTTTTTTTCTCCCTTTTATCAATATAAGTCGTCATTTGCAGAGTAAAATGAAGTATGATACAGTTACTGTAGCATATTTCGTGTTAAGATGGAGTTGAGTTAAAGTAGCTGCTAAAAAAACCCAAATATTTAAAACAGAATTTCAGAAACTATGCATTAACTCTGATGATACTGAGATTCTTGAAAACTGTTAAATATAAAATGTTGAAAGTAAGACTCTTATGACTGCAAGTCTTTAAAAAACTATGTATACCTTTTTTTGAGAGTGATTCTGAGAGTTGGTTTTATCTGAGATGGAATTTATAGGGATTGAGACAAGAAGGTGTGGATTACCAGGTTCCTATGGTCCAAATTTCATTGATTACAAAGTTGGCAATTGAAAAATGCAACATAAATTATTGGATAAAATACCAAAATGACAGAAACCTATTTTCAGAAAGTATACTGGAGCAATAACTCCATTCAATTTTTGTTAAGACTGAGGCTTCTAAGGGCTTAGTCACAAACAAATTACTGTAGTTAGCTAATCTTTCAGATATGTCTGCAGATGAATATTTATCTAATAGCAAATGCGAGGTAATTTGACTCCAGTTCAACTTCTAAGTCTTGTTCTTACTTAAAGGTTAGTTACAGATACGTCTGAATTGAGATACAGCTATAAATTTAAGACAATAAATTTAGGTGTTTGTTACAGCTGTTTGAAAATACTGCAATAATTTTAATTGCCCTTTTTTTCTTAAGACTTAATCTGTTTGTTTTTCTCAGGTGGAATGTTTTTGGCCACTGGGAGTACAGATCACATCATTAGGGTTTATTTCTTTGGATCAGGTCAGCCAGAGAAGATATCAGAGTTGGAGTTTCATACCGTAAATACTTTTAAAAATTACATATGTATTTGGTTATAATAATAATTTGGATAAATCTGGATAATTTGTGATCCTATTTGATTTTTTCTTTTTTTTATCCTTTTTTTTTTTTTCTTCCCTATAGGACAAAGTTGACAGCATTCAGTTTTCTAATAGTAGTAGCAGGTAAGCACACTATTTATTCAGAGCTAGTTTTTGACCTTGTGGCCATTTGTAAATATCAGTTTCTGGAAGTAGTTATTTTTAAAAAAAAAATTGCTTTCTGTTTTGATGTTCATCCAGTAAAATCATCTATAACTTTTGGATTCTCACTGTTTTAGTAATACTCCTTCAGTTTTACATTTGTTTTCATTGTAATGAATGATTAAAGTATTTTGAATTTGCCAAAATCAAGGAGTATAAAAATACTTGAAACTTCTTCTTCGGGATGTATGTGTGTATATATTTGTATATAAAATATATGCATTTTAAGATATGTTTAAAAATGTATACCTTTTTTCAGTTAAGTGACAGCTAGATACAGGAAAACTATCAAACTAAATGTAACAATATTTTGTTTAGCTAGTTTTTTAATGTTTCACTGTAAGTTCTGGATGTTGGATGTGAAGGATGCTAAAGAAAACAGTTCAGTTCGTTATGAATCCTGACACTTTATTTAATTGATGTTCTAATATACGCTTTTATTATTATACAAATAGTTGTAAATCAAGCTTCATTGTGGTCCACCCACCTCTTTCTGCTCCTACCCCTGCACCTCAAAAAGGGGGAAGAAAAAGGTGTGGGAGAAACTCAAGCTGGGAAACTATTCTTTAGATGAGTATCGTAATACTTAACATAGAGTGCTAGCTTACTGGGAGTAGGTGGTGTTTATTTTAAATCACATCTATACTTCTGCTTGCAGGGCTTTCCTGGCCCTTCGGCTATTTTTACCCCTTAAATTTCTTCCTCAGCTTTACCTGGTGTGGTAGGGTCAGTTCCTTAGAATGCTCGTTGGGTTCTGGTGTCCCTGTGCCAGAGCAGTGTTGTAACTCCGCAAGGTGCACCGGCTGGCCAAGTACAGTTAGTTTGGAAGGGGCTGAGGACAGGGAAGCAGGTTCCACTTTTTGCAGGCATTCAGGTTTTTTTACTGGTATGGGAAGTGTTCTTCACCTCAAACGAGTTGTACGGCATTCTGATGCTGTTTGGACTTCCTACTTATAGCTTCCCTTTTTGAATTCTAAATTCTGGAACTTCAGTTTTCAAGTGTCTTTTCTGTACAGATCTGGCTTTTGAGTAACTTTTTTTTCCCCTTTTGTTAGATTTGTGAGTGGAAGCCGTGATGGAACAGCGCGAATCTGGCAATTTAAGCGAAGGGAATGGAAAAGCATTTTATTAGATATGGCTACTCGCCCAGCAGGGTAAGTGGTGTAGAATGTTCTGCTGTCAGATAGATACTTGAAGGCCATTGATAATGATTTGCTGACTGACTTAAAAAAGGGAAAGGAAAAAGAAAGAGTGGGAGGAAAACCTTCTTAAATTATTATCGCTTAAATGCACAATATGCTTGTCTAGCTCTTGAAATCCAATGAAAACAAGTATTTGACTACATATTGAGCTGTGGAAACCAGCTTGTCCTGATAACAGCTCCACTAGTATTTTGATTAGATTAAAAGAATAAAAGACACTCAAAACCCATTAAAGGTCAAATTTATATGGCTTTTTACATAGGTATTTATTTCTGGAGCAAGAAAACCAGGTCAGATCTATTCTCAAGACTGCTTGCATTTTAGTAATACTTAAAGTTATTGTGGGATCTGCACGCCCAGAAAAGCAGTATTGGATTCTTTCATACCACATGCTAGAGCAAATAAATCACTTGCTTTGTAATTGGTTCTCATTTGTTAAAACAATCTGAGAATTTTATTGGCTTTGTAGGTATGGGAAACTTCTGTACACTAGAACAAGCAACAAAAAGCTTGAAGGTTAAGAATGAATTGCACCTTTTTATTTTGGCATAGAGATGTTTTCCAACTGATATACATTAGAAAGATTTATAATGGGTTTAAGGGGTAAACCTTTTTCCCATTACTGATCATACTGAGTGGTTTGAAGGATGGTATTTAATAGAAAAAAATTTTAAATGGCTTCAGGAGTAAACCTGTGGAAAGATGTCTGAAAGGCCAAGAGAGGGATGCAAGAGAAGGCTAAATAATCTATAGTTTAGTTACATATTTAGATCAGAGAGTATCTTGTCAGTTATAGGCACACGCAAGAAAACATTAGTATAAAACTGTTGGACAAGAGTGTATAAAACACTGATACTGTGAGAACAGACTGGGTTATTCTCTTGAAAATGCAGCCTGTAAAAATTCTTAGTTTTAACTAATCCTGGGAAAAACAGGAATGGATTCGTCTTCGTTGTGGTCAGAAATGCCAAACTTCTTTGAGAAACTGAACTGCTCGTTTCAGTAAAGCTGAATTCTGTTTTGTCCTTTTGACTGGAGGGATGAGTGCAGTTCCAAATCTGATCTTTTCTGCACAAGCACAATTTTAGCAAAGAAAATGAAATTGCTGCACTGAAAGGAAAGAATCAGCTTATAAAGCCTCCTGGGTTCTGCATTGAATCTAGAAACGAATCTGGCTCTAACTACATTTTCTGTTCTTGAGTTGTACAATATATACCGTTGTGTAATGTATTGTAGTGCTTACTGTATGGAAGATTCTGTATTTTGTCCGCTTACTTGGTGGTAACATGCTATTGTTGCATTTGGTTGAGGTTTTCCCAGAAATTAATGTGCTAAAGAGTTCAGTGGTGATTCATCTTTAAACCACACTGACAAAAATGTAATTTTTGAGTATTCTGATAGATTATATTACAGATGGCTAGTGTTTGGTTTTCATAGGTATAACACGAGATTAAGCGCCATTATTACTGATAGTAAAATGAGGTGGTAAGGGTGGTGGTATAGTACTAAATATAGCCTGAGAATTCAACTCATTTAAAGATATGAGAATACTTCTCTCCATATTTATAACTACTTATTACAAGTACTTTTGAGGACAAATTATTGTTCACTGGTTGAATAGTTTGGATTTTCACTTTTCAAATGTCACAACAAATACTGTAGCTATCAAATTTGATTGGGTTAGGTCATGTATTGGAGGGCATTTTCTGGAAAAACAGGTCAGCATATTCTTCAAGATACTAAGAGGACCCTAGAGTCATTGTTTAAGCATGTACAATTCTTTTGTGGTTGTACATGCTACATAATAGAAAACATCTCTCATTTCTCCAGTTTCTTGAAGACTCAATGCTTCTATTCTTAATAGTAAAGCAAAATACAGAAGTATTTTCACTTGTTAGGGACATAAAAATGTTTTGGCAAACTAGCATTGCTTTGAAACTTTTTGCTCTTTTGTTTCAGACAAAGTTTACAAGGAGTTGAAGATAAAATCACAAAGCTGAAAGTAACCATGGTGGCATGGGACCGCCATGACAACTCTGTTATAACTGCAGTAAATAATATGACTCTGAAAGTCTGGAATTCTTTCACTGGCCAACTCATTCATATTCTTATGGTAAGGTGTTTCATCTTGAGTTATCAATCCTGAATGCAAAATTTATGTAGACAACGTCAAAGTTCTTATGGGGTTTTCGGCAGTCTGAAAACTGCCTTAACGAATGTTTCCAGATAATTGAAGTGTAATAGAGATGTCTGTCAGCTGCTTATTAGAAAATAAACATTTAAAGTTGCAAATAATCATTACTGTTCAAGATGTCTGGAAATAATTTTGGACTTTAGGAAGAAAAAAAGTGCTGTCTTGAAGGAGAGAAGGAAACAGTTGTTTCTTTTTACCTTTATTTAATGGGACAAATGTTTTGAAATACCACTAATGGATAGATTTGTCCTGTTTAAACAGACACGCTTCTGCAACTAATCATGCCATGAGTATAAAAAAAGGTCTTCTAGCTAGAATAAATTAAACAACATTTTTACTAGTGTCTGATACCTTTTTTGGACTGAGAAGATAGGTAACACTCGGTAACTAGATGCTCTGCTACAGATGGAACTATTTCATGCAAAGCTTTAAAATTTAGTATCAATTTTGGAGATGTTGTTTTCTAACTTTTAATTATATATTTGATTCTTTATGCATCTAAATGAATTTCTAACTGCTACTCTGCCTAAACAAATCACAATCTGCAGAGCATTAAGACCAAAAATACCAAATGTAGTGGACTGTAATGATTTAAAATCATGGCAAAAGTATTGGGGCATACTTGTGAAGGTGACTTGCTTGACATACTTGGGAAGCAAAAATTGCGACTGGAGAGAGAAGAGTATAATACATTGCCGCAAACAAACAACCATGTGGTCAAAGTAGCTGTTCTTTGCTGGACACTTTCATAGGTTGATGTTGCAGCTGCTAGTGTTATCATATTGAATTCCTGGGTACATATTTGAGAGAATCTTCTTGTTCATCTTGCGGTATCTTAATTTCAGGGACATGAAGATGAAGTGTTTGTACTTGAACCTCATCCATTTGATCCAAGAGTTCTCTTCTCTGCTGGACATGATGGAAATGTCATAGTTTGGGATTTGGCAAGAGGAGTCAAAATCCGGTCTTACTTCAACATGGTAATTATTGTGCTCTATGGAGATATGCCCAAGCAACCTTTCTAAACTTTTTGCTTTTAGTACGTTCTTGTGCAGGCCATCTCAAAGCATTCATTTGTGTATAGGGCAAGATCCTGCATCCAGTGAAGTCAAGATAAATTCCTATTCAGTTTAGTGGGGCAAAGATTAAATCTGTAAAATGTAAGAAGTTGTTTCTTTGGCTGTATTTCATAGTGTCATCTTTCTATATGTTTCATCCACATGAAATTGGAATGTTAGTTTACATTGTCAGAGATCATGCGTAAGAGACAGGGTGACAGAGACCCTCCTTTAGTGCTCTGTTTCCTGCCTAGGGAACCAAGGTGGAACTTGGTTTATTTTTGCATTGCTAATTCTTAATCTGGCTAAAGCTCTTCAGGAGTCACCTGATCTCATACAATGTTGTTGTATGCTTGGCCCATTGGACTGAATACTGTCAGCCTTTCTGTGCAGAGCTCCTCCACATGCAGGTTTCAAATTTGGTCTGTTCTGCACTAAAGTAATTCTTCTGGAAGATGGATGCAACAGGTATTTTCATCTGTTTCTTGATACTAAGTGGGTCTTTGTATATATCTTTTTCCTCAAGAAGGTAATGATGTGTTGTGCAATTCAGACTTTGTCTCCTCGAGAATATTACGAAAGTCTTTCTAGAATATGAAGAATCATTGAGTATGCTGAGAGTAGGCAAATGGGCTTCACCCAGCCTTCAGCCATAGTGGAATGGCAGTCTTGGAGACCAGCATAAAGAAGATCATCTGAAGAAGAGACCTGCCATAGATGTACTACAAAAAAACAAGGGCATTTAGAAATCAAGCCAGGAAGGTCACTCTGAATCTAAAGAAAGATTTTGAGATGTACAGTAGAGTTCATAAAGTCTCTGAGGAAATTCTGCCAAGCTTAGTGTGAGAGAGAGCAGCTTAGACTCCTTCAGCACTGACCTAGGTTCAGTATTGTTCCCTCTGCATTGATTTCTGTAACTGAACTTATGAAGAGTCTGAGGTAATCATCTTGGGGCTATGAGTAGCGATCGTTACTCAGTGCTATTCACTGTTACTGGTTGAGGTCTGTGTTCTCGTTGCATGGTTAGGTTGCCTTTCCAATACTACTTATGATTTATGTGTGATAGTTTTAATGGAATTTAAGGTCAGAAGAGGCTGAGCTCATCTGCTCTTTATAAGACAAGTCCATGCAAGAGCTATCAGCATCTAAATTACAGATGCCTGTGACATTAGGCAACCCCCTAAAAGGCTGAAACACTTATTTCAAGGGTGCAGTGCAACACAAACACCTAAAAAGGGTAAAAATCACATACATCTTAAGATCTTTGGAGTCGGAGAAATGTGTAGATAATCAGAAGATCTCAGCAGCTGGTAATCTGTGCTCCATGCTAGAAATTAATGTGAGAAAGTCTGCCTGCTGTGTGAGGTGAGGGGAATTGTAAATCTAGTAGTCATTTTGTCTCAAACCAATGAATAAGTCATATGAGACATGTATGCAAGAGAGGCATCTCTGCAGTCTCTGAATATTTCACTAGCCAGTCTAGTTTCTATGTCTCATGCTTCAAAAGACATGGGTGGAAATTAAAGGTTTTCTTAGATGATGGGAGCAGGGAAGAGGAATGCTTATAGACCATGAGACTTGGATTGCATAGTCATCTCTGCAGAGCTGCAAATGTTAAGTGGTTTACTAAGAGAGGACATGAATACATACAGAGCTACCAGTCTTCTCCCAATTTCTGAACTGGCATGTCAGCTGGCAACATCATTAGATTAGCCACTATTAAATTACTCTGATAACCGCTGTAACCTTCATTGGCTTACTCAGTATGTCATCTCGTCCTTCTGAAAAATAGTATTTGTACTCAGGGGATGGGAAATTTCTACAGTTTGGGTTCTTTTGGATTAGACAGAGAACATCATCTGGAGGAACCAGACCTGAGAGTTGAATGACATGATACACCTGCTTTACCATTCAAGAACCTCTTAGTATCATTGCCTGGCAAAACCGTGCCTGTGGTACCAGCGCTGGATGACTTTGTCATAACAAAAGCCCCTTAAAAAAATCGCAGACCTTGAGGGTGTTGGTTGAACTAGGAAAATCTTAGGTGACTGTTCTCTTAATGATAGTCCAGGCAGGTATTTCCATCCTAAATGGATTGCTTGGTACACGTAAAGCCTTGTAGCAAATCCCTGAAGTAGAATTGGGTGGTTTCAAGTAGTTCCCCCACCCCTCACCCCCTCAAGTTACTTCATCGTCAGCAGAAAAAAAAAAAAAAAATCATCAAAATTCGAGGGATGCAGACAGTGTCAATCATTTTGAAACTTAACTGCTTTTATCCAGTCAGTGAATGTGAAATTGCAAAGCCATAGTAACCAAATGCACTTTTTGTTTTGTATTTAACTTAAATGGGAGAATCAGGAGTTTATTTGTGCCTTGCTGGTTACGGATAGGTGACACTAGGAGACTCTGGTGGTCTTACAGAACATTCTCTCCCAGTTTTTTAAACTTAAGGTTTTCTATTAAATCAATTGGTGCAGTCACGGTTAATTTGAAGCATTTTTGGTCTGTTTGCCAGATTTTGGGTTTTATAATTCATAGTAAACTCTGTTCCATAAGTGACTGTCTGCACGTGTGGGTTTACTTTAAGTATGCATATATTTTTTTATATTCCATGTTTTCACCTGTAGTCTTGACTTCATTTAATCTAGTTCTGCAAGTATCACATAATTCAGTGTCAGAGTTCATAGGCGTTCAGAACTGGCTTGATTCAGTGACACGAGTCAGCTAGACTCAGGGAATGTATTCACTGCCCCAGAGACTGGAAGTATCAAGAGGATGAGAGGGTTAAAAGCTTTTTAGGCAATTTTGAGATGCAGCAAATAAGTCCTGGGATGGTTTGAAATTGCATATGCCAATACAGGTACTTGTTTTGGGGCCTGTGCAGTATACCTGCCAGTCCTGACTTAATACAGCTGCTAATGAAAAGTGCATTCTCAGTGTCATTCATTTTCCCAAGGAATCAATGAGGCTTCAGTGTTGTAATGTTAGGGTAGTTTCACATGCTGTATTTCCCAGGTACAAGTAAGCATTTAGCAGACTTCTGAAGAAACAGGGTAATAAACTGTAAGTGGTTGCTGCAGCCAACTGTTTCAGAGCTTGTATATTTCACAGAAATAGTGGTTTTGCTACAGAAGGACAGCACAAACCCTTGTAAATGTTTTAGATTGTGGCTCGTTACCCAGGGCCTAGATTCACTGCAGGACTTGACTGTTATGGCACCTATGTTATTTGGGACCAAGGTCCTTAGTCTCCAAAGTGGAATGCAGTATCTTACCAAATTCACAGTTTACTAAGCAGTATATAAGGTTTAGTTTACTAAGCAGTATATAAGGTTTAGGTATCTTAGTGGATGATCCAGGAAAAAAAAATACACCAAATAGTGGGCTGTCTAGTGATGCCCCTGTGTGATAATGTACATAAAAGATCTGTTTCAAATGCAGTTTCTTACTCAAAGCTGCAATGCAGTATCTGGATCCCTTGTGTGGTAAGGCACCTTTCCAATAACTGAGGGATGTCCCTGCTCTCCTGAAAGCATGGCACAGGAGCAGGTGGCCCTCGTCTTTTGGGATTGCCTTAACTAGTGTTAATCTGTTGAGCTGGGAAATGGAAGACCTAGATTCTGCTCTCTAATCAGCAGCAAGGCGTTTAGTTCAACATCTGCCACTGACTTAGGAGGGCATCTCAGCTATAAAGCTATATAGACAGGACTTTCCCAACTTTCTCTTGAAGTTTAGTCACTGGAGAGGCGTGAATCTGTAGCCTATGGGTTTAGGCACTTCTGCTGGGCTTGTCTTCTTGGGTATGGAAATCATCTTTTAGGTAAATTAGGAAGTGATAATAAATAATAAAATAAATATATTTTATTTAAATAATTTTAATTTATTAAATTTAAAAAATAAAAGACAATAAAATAATTTAAAAAAAAGAGAAAAATATAACCTTTGGCTTTAAGCTTTAGGCAAGCTCTTGAACTTGCAGGATTAGTGCTCTGTTAGGTCATAAATAAAAGCTGCACACTGCTCTGCTGTTGTCACAGAATCTGTTTTCTTTCAGGTGTTCCCACTGAGTTACTTCTTAATAGAACTGATGCTCTTGATTTGTTAGGAATGCCAGGGTTGGCACTTGGATGGTGTGTGCTGCAGTTTAGCCTTATGCTTGTCATTCCTGCAGGCTTTAAGGAGAACTTTCTCAATTCCTAGAATGTATGAGGGGGAAAAAGAAAACTACAGGGAGTTAAGAATCTTTCAGATCAAAAAGGAGGTGCCTCGTAATGTTAGGTGGATGCACCAGATTTTGTTTGGTTTAGTGACTGGGTTTTTGTTGGTGTTGCAAAGTGGACATTAGGTACTGGTGTTCCACAAGTCTGACCCCAAATAGGTTTGTGGTGTTATGGTCCTGCCCCTGATTTTTACTTTTTTGGACTTGGGTATTTTCATTTAAGCATGCTTTCCTTTAAGCAGTACCTTTCAGGGCTGAGCTCTGCTGATTCAAACTGCTTGCAAAAGGCATTCTGCCTGGAGCCTTAAAGTATAAGTTACTCCTGTGGTAAAGCTAATAGTTCTTGTCCTGTGAGTGGGCTGCCCTGTAGGAGAATATTAAAGTTTCCTAAAAGATTTTAGGATGTATACAGACCTGTAGCTCTGTTCTTTTTTTCTCTCTCTTTTTTTTTAAATAATTTGATTTACAGCATAGCTTTACGAACAGTTGCAGGAACATATGGTGACTGCAGTTACTTAAAAGTATGCTGTTGAAAGTATGAAAACTGTATTACAGTAGCAATGGATGAAAAACTAGGGGAGAACAGGAATTTTTACAGCCTTTGTCACTACAGAATATTGAGTTTTTGTACTGTATCTTTGAGTGTAATTACTTTGCCCAAATCTGATACCTGACTCGGCAGATTTTTTAAGTAGGCATTGCAG